TATATATATGTATATATGTATACAGGCCTTATTAGAGCACAAGACAATAGTACGATTAAGTTTACCACGTATAAGACTAAAGGGAATAAAGGCTGCTGCTGCTCTTGTACAAAAGTGTGGGGCCCTTGAGTACCTAGAAATAAGTGTATGGGGGGCCCCTATACCCTTAAGGGCCCCCATAGAAGACGGGGGGGCCCTTGAAGGTGAAGGGGGGCCCCAAGGGGCCCCTCATGAGGGGGGAAACCCAATTATACCTAAAAAAGAAAAAAAAAAAAAAAATAAAAATAAACAAAAAAAAAATAAAAATGAAGATTATAAAGAAGATATAAAAAGTGACGAAGAAGGAAATGATAAAAAAGATTGTGTTGAAGAAATGCTAAAAAAAAAATATTTACACGTAAACCCTAAACCCTAAACCCTAAACCCTAAACCCTAAACCCTAAACCCTAAAGTCTTAACACACTAGACAGTTAACACTAAACATTTAATTGTAAACCCCAAGCCCTGTAGAATAAAAACTAGGCCTAAGCGCTACACTAGTACAACCCAAACCCTAAACACTAAACCCTAAAAACCCTAAACCCTAAACCCTAAACCCTAAACCCTAATTATGTGTATTTTTTTCTATATATGTAGGAGATGAAGGAATTATTATTGGATATGTTTACTAAATTTGAATTATCTGTGAATTTAATGTGTCTCCTTATAACGGGGATCGGAGACGATCCCCTATTAAGACCTATACTTGTCTCCTTTGAGCAATTGTCCCTTAAGAGACAGCTAGCCAAGGAGACACAGCTAGCCAAAGAATTACAGCTAGCTAACCCACCATACGAACCACTACACCTCAAAGAAAGAATCTGTACGCTCCTTATCCCTTGCTGCTGCTGCTCCTGCTGCTGCTCCTGCTGCTCCTGCTGCTGGTCGTGTTGCTATTGGCGCTGCTGTTGCTCACTGTTGCTGCTGTTGTTGCTGCTCTAGCAACAAGACTGCAGCAGATCCTGCATGTTTGCTTCAGTTGCTGCAGTTACATCTGTTGCTGCTGTTACCGCTACTGCTTCTGCTGCTGCTGCTGCTGCTGTGCATGCGTGTTGCTGCAGCGGAGCCTCCCGTGTGTCTGCATGCATACTTTAAATCTGTATTAGAGGAAAAGTTAACAAAAGCGCTGCTGCTGATGGCAGCAGCAAAGAAAGAACTTCCTGCTGCACTAGACAGCAGCAGGAAAGAAATGGCATTCTTTGCTGAGGCATTGAGGGAAGAATAAACAAAGAAATACACAAAAATACAAGAAATGCAGAAATCAAGCCCCAAAGCACATGCATGCCTGCCTGCCTGCATGCATGCATGCATGTATATACACATGCATACATACTATATATAAGTAAATAAAAACTAATATAAATATAAACATATATACTTAAGGGAATATCGAGGGACAGAGGGAAAAAAAAGGAGGGAAAAAAAAGGAAGGAAAGAAAGAAAGAGGGTAGGCAAAGGCCTGCCATTGCAGCTCTTGCAACAGCAGCAAAAGCTGCAGCAGCGTGCATGCATACAAACGCATGCATGCAAACAGTTATTTGCATGCAGGTTTATGTTATTTAATGCATGCATGCGCATGCATGCATGCATTTATTTGTTGTATAAGAGGAAACTAAACAAGAAAAAAGCCCCAAAATAAGATAAGTATCTATGCATGCGCTTTAACTGATTCTTTACCACTTGCTACGGCTGCTGCTGCTGTTGCTGCTGCTTCTGTTATTGGTGCTGCTGCTGCTGTTGTTGGTGCTGCTGCTGCTAATGCTAATGCTGCTTGTGCTGCTATTTCTTCTGGTGCTGCTGCTAACGCTAATGCTATTGCTGCTATTGTTGCTGCTATTCTTGCTGTTGCTGTTGCTGCTGCTGTTGCTGCTGCTGCTGGTGGTATATTGTATGAGTTGCGTATACAAAGGAGGAAAAGAGACAACAACTAATAAACAAAAAGGAAAGAAAAAAAGAAAATAAGAAAAATAAAGAGACAAAGAAAGAAGAGACAAATTTATTTCTTCTCTGCAGCGTTTGCTGCAGCAGCTGTCTCTGTGTCTCCTTCTGCTGCTGCTGCCTCCATACACGGATCCTGCAGCAGACACAGGATCGTGGACAGCTAGCTAGCTAGCTAGTTAGCTAGCTAGCTATCTATCTACTTCTAGCTAGCTAAACTATACTAACAGCCAATTAAATAGGTAGCTAGCTAACTGTCTAGCTAGCTAGCTAGCTAGCTGGGTATCCAGCTAGCTAGCTAGCTAGGGAGGTAAATAGCCATTAAAGCAAACTGCATTTGTCGGCCTGGGTAGGCCTCCCTCAAGGGCACCTGGCTAGCTAGCTAGCAAGCTAACTAACTAGCTAGCTATCTTGCTAATTAGCTAGCTGGCTAGCTAGCCAGCTAACTAACTAGCTAACTAGCTACTACTTTGAAGACGCCCTTTGCCTCCCTTCCTGTACCATGCATGCATGCATATATGCGTGCATGCGTGCATGCATGCATGCAAAAGCCCCAAATTTATTGGGGATACAGCCGACTTAAAAAAAGGCCTGCAGCTTGGACAAAGCCGCGCTGCGCTGCAGCAGCACCTGCTGAATTTGCTGCTGTTGCAGCTTCTGCTGCAGCTGGTCTTGCTGCTCCTGCCGCTGCTGCTGTTGGTGCGGCAACTGTTGCTGCTGCTGCTGCTGCAATTTCTGCTGCAGCTGCTGTCCTTGTTGCTCCCTTAGGTGCTGTTGCTGCTGCTGCAGCTGATGCTGTTGTTGTTGTTGCTGCTGCTGGAGCTGCTGCAGCTGCTGATGTTGCTGCTGCAACTGTTGCTGCAGCTGCTCCTGTTGATGTTGCAGCTGTTGCTGCAAGTGCTGCTGCTGGTGGTGCAACTGTTGCTGCTGCAACTTTTGCTGCAATTGCTGCTGTTGATGCTGCAGGTGCTGCTGTTGCAGCTGTTGCTGCTGGTGGTGCAGCTGTTGTTGCTGCTGCACCCCTGAGGGCGCTGAACCAGCCGGAACAGCAGCAGCTGCTGCTGCAGGTTTCCCTGCTGCTGCCGCTTTATCTGCTGCTGTTGCAAAAACTCCCTCTTTTGCATGAGGCGGTAAAAGCTCTCCCTGCTGCTGCTGCTGCTGCAGTTGCTGCAGCAGCGATGGTAACTGTCTCCCCTGTGTGTCTGGTGGTGCAGCAGCGGCTGGTGTAAGGATGCCAGTAAGAACATTACGCCGCATGCCTCCAGCAGCAGCTGCAGCAGCAGCTGCTGCTGCTGCCTTTGTTGCTGCAGCAGCAGCTGCTGCCTTTGATGCTGCTGCTCTTGCTGCTGCTGTTGCTTCTTTTGCTGCTATAGATAAGGGGGAATGCCGCCACGAAGGGCTGGTAGCAACCGCAGGTGCAGCAGCAGCTGCTGCTGCTGCACCTGTTGTAGCTGAAGCTCCCCCAGTGTGCATCCCGCCAGCAACGTATATCTGTTGCTCTGCTGCTGCTGCTGCGTTCCCTTGCTGCTGCTGTCCTGTCTCTAATTTGCCTGCAAGGCTAAAGCTACTCAGCAGCGACGAAACAAACTCCAATGGTGTTTTCCTAGTAGGCTGCAGCAGTTGCTGTTGCTGCTGCTGCTGCTGCTGTTGCGCTGCAGCAGTATCCCTGCTTTCGCTAGGGCCACATGCATGATGACAGGGCAGCTGCAGCTGTGGCGGTGATGCAACCGTTGGCTTTTCTGGCGACGCAGCAACGGCAGCAGCTGCTGCAGCTGCTGCCGTTGCTGCTGCTGCTGGCTTGCCTGGAGCAGCAGCAGCAACTGTGGGCTGCTGCTGCCTTGTCTCCGTAGTCCCTGCGTTAGGCGGCAGCACGAGGGCATACGAAGATACAACCCTTCGTTGTCCCTGCAACAGCAGCAGGTGCTTTTCCCTCTGCTGCTGCTGCTGCAACTGCTGCTGCTGCAACGGTTGCTGCTGCAACTGCTGCTGTTGCAACTGCTGCTGCTGCAACTTTTGCTGCTGCAAATGTTGCTGTTGCAACTGCTGCTGTTGCAACTGCTGCTGCTGCAACTTTTGCTGCTGCAACTGTTGTTGCTGCAACTGCTGCTGGTGCAGCTGGTGCTGCTGCAACTGCTGCTGGTGTTGCTGTTGTTGCTGCTGCTGCAACTGTTGCTGCTGCTGTTGTTGCTGCTGTTGCAACTGCTGCTGCTGGAACTGCTGCGGTTGTTGCTGTTGTTGCTGCTGCAACTGCTGTTGTTGTTGTTGCTGCTGCTGCAACTGCTGCTGCTGCTGTTGCACCTGTTGTATCTGTTGCATTTGCGCTTGCTGCGCCTGCTGCTGCACTTCCTGTTGCGGCTCTTGTATCTGTACTTGTTGCTGCTGCTGTTGTATCTGTGCTTGCTGCTGCTGCTGCTGCAGCTGTCCACCGGAGGACCCCGGGGCCTCTGTTCTTCTTACAACTCTGCCAAGAGGTGCAGCAGCAACAGACCGCAGCAAACGAGTACTGTCTTTTCGTGCACCACCTGCTGCTGCTGCTGCTGCTGCAGCAGCAGCAGCACTTGATGGGGAAGTGCTGCCTCCTGACGAGCTAATTCCCCCAGAAGCAGCAAATATGCCGCTTTTTGTTGACGATCTGCTGCTAGGGCTTTTCCCTGCTGCTGCTGCTGCTGCTGCTACTGCTGCCGCTTCCCCTAAGAAATCAGCATAGCGCAGCAAACGATGAGGAGAAGAGGAGACAGCAGATCTAATACTGTTGTTGCTGTTGTTGCTGTTGCAGCCGCTGCTCCATCCGTTGCTGCTCCTGCTGCAGATGTTGCTGCCGCACTTGCTGATGTTGCTGCAGCTGCCTCCGTTAGTCATAGTACTAGTAGTACTTGTGGTGTATGCACGTAGTCTCCGCTGTTGCTGCAGCTGCTGCTGCAGTTGTAGTTGCTGTTGTAGCTGCTGCTGTAATTGCTGCTGTAACTGTAACTGCTGCTGCAGCTGCTGCTGTAATTGCTGCTGCAGCAAACGACAATCACCAT